CAGCCTGTCAACAGTGTCTGGACAAGAGGAGAGATTTGTGACTACTTTAATCAAAAAAGCGCACAGGGCCCTGGGTTATTTTTACTGTGTCAGTATGTTAAAGGTAAACATCATAACGGAGCTTATTTTGATTCCCAGAATGCCACAGGAAATCCAACATGCAGTCGTAAGCCTAAAATGGTGTTTAAGATAATTCCCAAACGTCTTCCATTTAAGGATTATGGAGGCCACTGTGCTCTTAGGAACTTTAAGTGCAGCAGAAATTTATTACAGGACTGCTGTATTAGACTACTTTACTTTTAGCTTGTACCTAATAAACTCTCTAGGCCATTTTTTCTCCGTGCTCCTTTGTTTTTTTTTTGTATATTATTATCCCCTTTTGTGTTCCCCTCATGGACTGTTCCTCCAGACCGTGGCTCCACTCTCTCCTCCCAGGCAGGTCAATGCTCAGTCGCATATCTGTTCCACTATTGCCTTCATCTCTCTGTCTCCACCTTCAGTAGCCACCATCACCACCGACCAGCCCAGGAGTGACCCAGCCTACGCAGCTTGGCCCAGCTCTCCATCACCTCGCCTCCTGCTGTTGGTCAAACACCCGGCTACTACTCATCGACAGGACTGCGCACTATTTCCCTCTGTGCATTTTGTTATTTCTCCTCATCACTGTACATAATAAATCACTGCTTGCATCGAAGTCGGCTACCTGGGTCCACCTCTTTCTCGTTCGCTCACTGACAGGTGCGAACGGCACATAACAAAATCAAGCTGCAAAACAAAATTAAAACCAGTGTATGGATGCAAAATTATATCTAGAGACATTTGCACCTACAGTGCCTTGCGAAAGTATTCGGCCCCCTTGAACTTTGCGACCTTTTGCCACATTTCAGGCTTCAAACATAAAGATATAAAACTGTAATTTTTTGTGAAGAATCAACAACAAGTGGGACACAATCATGAAGTGGAACGAAATTTATTGGATATGTCAAACTTTTTTAACAAATAAAAAAACTGAAAAATTGGGCGTGCAAAATTATTCAGCCCCCTTAAGTTAATACTTTGTAGCGCCACCTTTTGCTGCGATTACAGCTGTAAGTCGCTTGGGGTATGTCTCTATCAGTTTTGCACATCGAGAGACTGAAATTTTTGCCCATGCCTCCTTGCAAAACAGCTCGAGCTCAGTGAGGTTGGATGGAGAGCATTTGTGAACAGCAGTTTTCAGTTCTTTCCACAAATTCTCGATTGGATTCAGGTCTGGACTTTGACTTGGCCATTCTAACACCTGGATATGTTTAGTTTTGAACCATTCCATTGTAGATTTTGCTTTATGTTTTGGATCAGTGTCTTGTTGGAAGACAAATCTCCGCCCCAGTCTCAGGTCTTTTGCAGACTCCATCAGGTTTCCTTCCAGAATGGTCCTGTATTTGGCTCCATCCATCTTCCCATCAAGTTTAACCATCTTCCCTGTCCCTGCTAAAGAAAAGCAGGCCCAAACCATGATGCTGCCACCACCATGTTTGACAGTGGGGATGGTGTGTTCAGGGTGATGAGCTGTGTTGCTTTTACGCCAAACATAACGTTTTGCATTGTTGCCAAAAAGTTCGATTTTGGTTTCATCTGACCAGAGCACCTTCTTCCACATGTTTGGTGTGTCTCCCAGGTGGCTTGTGGCAAACTTTAAACGACACTTTTTATGGATATCTTTAAGAAATGGCTTTCTTCTTGCCACTCTTCCATAAAGGCCAGATTTGTGCAGTATACGACTGATTGTTGTCCTATGGACAGAGTCTCCCACCTCAGCTGTAGATCTCTGCAGTTCATCCAGAGTGATCATGGGCCTCTTGGCTGCATCTCTGATCAGTCTTCTCCTTGTATGAGCTGAAAGTTTAGAGGGACGGCCAGGTCTTGGTAGATTTGCAGTGGTCTGATACTCCTTCCATTTCAATATTATCGCTTGCACAGTGCTCCTTGGGATGTTTAAAGCTTGGGAAATCTTTTTGTATCCAAATCCGGCTTTAAACTTCTCCACAACAGTATCTCGGACCTGCCTGGTGTGTTCCTTGTTCTTCATGATGCTCTCTGCGCTTTAAACAGACCTCTGAGACTATCACAGTGCAGATTTGTTAAAAACGTTTGAAATATCCAATAAATTTCGTTCCACTTCATGATTGTGTCCCACTTGTTGTTGATTCTTCGCAAAAAATTACAGTTTTATATCTTTATGTTTGAAGCCTGAAATGTGGCAAAAGGTCGCAAAGTTCAAGGGGGCCGAATACTTTCGCAAGGCACTGTATATGTATGATACATCGTAGCCTAAATGATGAACATGAATATGCACACTGCAAAAATTTAATAAAGAAAATGGCTTGTGTAACTTGACAAAGCAGTACAGTATCCTGAAGACTTGGAGCCAGTGTGCAGCAGCTAATCCTAAACTAGGGTAAAATCAGTGTCACTCACATGCATACTGACAAAAAGACAAAAAAAAAAAACAACCTTTCCAGAAATGTGATCCTAAAACCACATAGTGAGAGAAAAGCAGGCAGAAATAAGGCCAGAGCAGTCTCTAGTGTCTATAGTCAGTGTTTTTCAATGTCAATCACAGTTACACAAATGCCGGGATACAGAGCAAGGACTGGCCCTAAATTATAAAAACATTCATCTATTACTGTTCCTACCAGTCAAAGTGTCTGGATTTCTAAGAGAATAACTTACATTACTTCAAAGCAAAATAATGAGAAACATTATTTCTGATGCCATCTTCCTCTGGTGTTGTCATGTTTTACTTCTTATTGTGTAATGACTAAGCAGCCTATTTGATTCTACAACTATGAGCAAGTCAGCAATAATGTACAAAACATACAAAGCCTGAGCAAGACAGGGATTATTTTAGGGGACATAGCTAATAAGATTAGACCTTGGACTTTTGGCACTGAGCTTTGGATCCATATTACAGACCAAGGCAGGTGCATGAAAGAGAAGGCGCTCCTAAAAATATCCTTGAGAATCTCTGTGAAGACAAGAAGACACTTGGTGTGTCCTCAGTCGCCACAGCTGAGCGTTTAGCTCAGTGCGTATATATAATGTTAACATTTTAAAAATGCCAAAAAGGGATTATTGTATGGTTATTATTATATGAAATAATTAATTTAGAATATATACACATTCTTATCCCTTCGTGAATTATTGCACATAACTTTAAATGTTTAGTCATTTGTAAAGGAGTTAACAGTCAGCAGCTCAGCTGAGCTGTGGTGACTATCCTGCTCTGGCTGAAGCTGGATACTGTGCTGTCACAGTTTAGGGAGGATATCCCACACATTCTCAGGTAAATACTTCCTTGTCAAGAGACCCCCAGACCATGAACAGTGCCTCTAGGGGCTCGCTTGGCTTACCGAAACCATCTCTTCCCAGCCAACCCACTACTACATCTTATCCCAAAGGAGCCCGCACACATCAGATGTAGACACAGAGACACCGGTGGCTGCAAGCTGGCAAAAACCTGGTTACAGTATTAATGTAGCTGCCTGTGGTCACTCACATCCTGTGGGACAGAGACAGAGAACAACATCACTGAGCTAAGAAGCAGTTACCATATGTTGCTCACTTGTCACAGTGATAAAACAAACTGCACAAAAGTCATGCACAGATTTAACAATGTTCTCATCACGAACTGTCTTCATCTGCATCTTCTCTATGCATTAAATGGCTTCTGTTACATTACCATTAGGAGGCCCTTCCGTGGCAGCTGCCTGCATGTACATCACACCCCATATAAAGACGTATGAAAAGACAAACGTTTGGGAGCAACGAATCGCCGAGCAGATCCCTAAAAAAACGCCCGGGCACCCACACACGCCTCCTCCAAAAAAAGCATTGGCTGTCCTAAAGAATCCAGTCACCCCCCCCTTGAAAGTACATATTTGACAGGACACAGAGAGGCAGAGCCTGCACTCCAGCTTAGCGTTCAGTTCGGCTCAGACGCCCTAGCCCCTCTCCCGGTCTCTCCTTGGTTTTCATTTGGACGTTTTGTTGGTACCACCAAACAGCAATAAGCAGCCATGGATGCCATCAAGAAGAAGATGCAGATGCTCAAGCTCGACAAGGAGAATGCCTTGGACAGAGCTGAGCAGGCTGAGTCAGACAAGAAAGCAGCAGAGGACAGAAGCAAACAGGTCGGCTGATTTTTCTGTGTTTTTTCTTTTGTGGGCAAACCCAAAGATCCGTAGAAAAAAGCAGGAATATCGTTAGCAGTATAAAGTTACTGCCCTTTAAATGGATCGTCTCCTAAATATGGATTAATTACTTTGATGGATAAACCCAGAAAAGGATCCATTTAAGAATAACCCATCCTTGCTTTTTGGGTGTTCTAAATCCTACTCTCAACATTTTGGCAATTAATGAAATAAATAGCCCATAGTGTAGAAAATAATCATTTTGAAATTGGAGAGGCATATCGTTTGATAATTAATTGAATAATTGCATGTTTATTTCGTGTTTTGTTTAACTTTATAGTGTCTTTTATATGCGTGTATAGTTAGAGGACGAAATAAGAGAGTTGGAAAAGAAATTGCGTGTTACTGAAGACGAAAGAGATAAAGTGTTTGAGGAGTTCCAAACTGCTGAGGAGAAGCTGCTGACCGCTGAGGAGGCCGCCACCAAGGTACCCAAACCTGACGTGCATGAGCTTCCCTAACTTTTCTCTCCTCTCTTTCTTCCCCTGTCCTGTCCTGTCCTGTCCTCTCCTGTCCTGTGTGTCTCTGTACGCGGCTCTCGCGCCTGTGCGCGCTCACGCAACTCCGTCCTCCCGCTGATCACCTCTGAAACTGTCCTGCACTGAAACTCGCCTCAGCTTGAGGACGATTTGGTAGCTCTGCAGAAGAAGCTGAAGGGAACTGAGGATGAGTTGGACAAGTACTCCGAGGCGCTTAAAGATGCCCAGGAGAAACTTGAGCTGGCTGAGAAGAAAGCTTCAGATGTAAGTAGGGAAGGGATTCACCACGGCACCATTCTTGCACTACGCTTCGTCACACCTTCATTCTGCCATCACTGAGTGTGGGAGATGACAGTTCACCAGCCCAAATATAAAGTTTCCTCTCAGTTGTATTCTATTATATATTGTCATCTATTATCAGTGAAAGCATTTCTTTTTGGGTGGGCAGGGTTTGCACACCTGCCCTATAGAAGATCTCCAAACTGACTTTTTGATGAGATGTCCAATTATTGTTGACTGTCGTTTTGTTTTGTCGTGCAGAATCACTCACGTTTGCCCAAAGAAAGTCAAGTAGTCTGTTAAACTGAAACACATTTATTTTGAATTCAGTTCATTCACAGGGTTACCCAAAACATTAGTATTGCATACAGATTTTGTGTTTTTGAGCGAGATGTGTTTAGTCTTACAGGTCTTTTGCTGAGGAAGTCATTTTCAGAGGGGAAAGTAAAGTAGCCTAGCCCAAAGTGCAGTCTTCCCAAGAACGCAGAGAGCAAGCGCCTGGATAAATATAGCCTACGGCTTTATATGGTCAAGCTAGAGCCCACATCTGCGGGCTGCGCCTTTTGCTTACCAAAGGGAAAAAGAGTTTCCCATGTAATTGTCCCAGGCAGCGTAGAACTTAAACACGAATACATTTGGCTTATCTATATGAAAAACAAACAAGTCATGGAATTAGAACAGTTTGATGTTCGTCTCTTTCCTTCTTTCTTTCTTTTTGCATAAATACATAGCAGGAAAACAGCGTAAAGAGTTTAGAGTGAGGTATTTAAAGTTCGCGAACAAACACTTTAGGCTTTATAAACATGACAAACACTTCATGCTGTATTTTATTCCCTATAGGCCTGAATTCGGCGGTTTCTTTCTCAATATTCCAGGAAAATTCTATCTTTAATGTGGCTTTGGTGCTTCTGTAGGGAGGTTTTTTCCTTTCCTGCTTTTGGAGTGGCACAGAGTCAGAAACATAGCCTGTAATTACTGTAATCGGTGACCTATTCAGTTTTGAATGGCCTTAGCCTCACTGCCATAATGTATTGCTCACAGTTGACCCACAGAGGGCGCTGTGGCTCTGTTAGGTCTCCACAAGCATAATTATCACATTGTGTTAACTGGGTGTGTTGTTACCATTAAAAGGTATTGTTAAGATGTATCAATTAAATTCCACATATTGTTATTTTATGGGGTAATGCAGCGGATTTTCACAGCGGGGCGCTTTGCACAACAATGCGGAAAGTCATTTTAGGTCTATTTTGAAATCAGCTACTTCCTGGACGAACAACAGGCATTGCACAGTGCGTCTTCAGAAAGCTTTGCGCATTGTCCTGCCTGTCTTCACGCAGCTTTCAGCACAAACAAGGACGTCCCCTCGTCCTTGTCAATATCTCGGAAATTGTGCCACAGTTGAGATTATAGTCTTTTTTTTCCTGCCTATAGCTGTTCAGTAAACCATGGCCGGAGCTACATCGCTGGAGGCAGTTAAACGAAAGATCAAATCCTTGCAAGAGCATGTAGACGGTGCTGAAGAGAGAGCCGAGAGATTACAGAAGCAGTTGCTTGCGGAGAGGAAAGCCAGGGAAGAAGTAAGCATGTTTACGGCGCATACAGTCAGTCAGGAGCTGTTTACCAAATCACATGTATGTTTCCATTTCATGCAGGCCGTTCAGTTTGGATTCATATAGCAGTGAGATAGCGGGGCTTCTCTTAATCCACCACAGTGCTGCAAGCTGAACAACACTTAGTACCTTATCTGCAGAGGGGGTGATAGCCTGCTGCTCCTGGCTAAGTGCTTATAATTGGTAAGGTTAGGCCGCGGGTCAACAACCGTGAGTGTGCTCCATCATAGTCCTGCTTTGTTTGACTTGCATCTGCTTTGATGCACTTTGCTGTAACGGTCCCATTCAGCGCCCAGCAAGTTCCGTTTATTCTGTTCTGCAGACGCGCCAGCACGTGAGTAAAAGTAAGTTAAAAAAAATGTTTGCAGCAACCAGGAAGTTGCAACAAAACTGTTGCAATTTTTAAGCTGCCATTCTGCACCGTGAGCTTATGCTCTTTGACTTGCCCAAATAAGGGCAATAGGTTTTGGCAGCTGAGCGCGCACGTAAACAGTACACGTAAAGGAAATCTGACTACAGGGGCTTATAGCAGTCTGAGTCCATCTGAGCCGCAGACCTGCAGTTCATCGTTTCTGATAATCAACCGTGTTGTGGTTTTAAATGCAGTTAGATTATCGGGAACTTCCTTGTCCGGCCTCACACCACGAGTCGCACTTTGCACTGTGATCTTTAACACGTTCTGAGTTAGTCAAACGTCAAGTTTGTTCAGCAGATATATCAGTCTGATTAGTCATAGAAAAGGCCTGCTCTTTTTGTTTGATTGATATTACATCCTTATTAATGCATACCCATCTTTCTGCACAGAAACCAGATCATTTAACATGGTTGCAAATGTGACCAGCTGCACTTAAATGGCTCCTACAGCTGTGAAGTGTCAAGGGAATCTCTGTGGTGGTGTGTGCACCATGTGAGCAGTCATTTACGGTATAATTGTGGCAGGCCTTTTGAAGTGAGCCTTGTTAATGCTCTCTCAGGGGCCTAGTAATGAGATGGAGTAGTCAACCTTCTGTCAGCTTGGGACATTGTTAGCATTATACATAGCCATTGAGGAGCACAGGTAAACCTCCTGGGAGGGCTTTTCCCAACAGATACAAAGAAACACTTCTGAACTACCGTGATTACACTCAGCCACACTGGCGTGCACCAAATCAGATGTACAGCCTACTTTCTTTGGGCTGGCGTGTGTTTCTGCACTTGTGTGATTTCCAGGTTGTTTGTTAAAGAGGGTAATTTCCAGATTCTGACACACTGGTTTTCTCTCCCTAGGCTGAGGCAGATGTCGCTTCCCTTAACAGACGCATCCAGCTGGTTGAGGAGGAGCTGGATCGTGCTCAGGAGCGTCTGGGCACTGCCCTGACCAAGCTGGAGGAGGCAGAGAAGGCTGCTGATGAGAGCGAGAGGTGGGTTTCTTTAGAGCAGTGCAGACTCGGACCTCTGATCTCTGTCACTCTCACTCTCTTTCTGCAGAGACCAAGTGGTGCTGCTGTGTTTCCGTCCCTTCGTACGGGGTGCAAGCAGCACCTCTGTGCATCATCCCAAATTCTGAATTTCCTCCCTCTTTCATGTCAAAAACAGTTGTCCATTTACCTTAGAAGAGTAAATTAAAGATTTATCAGCCAACACTACTGTGCACCAGTCATGTGTCCTCAGGGACACTGTCTGCCAGCTGTAAGCTCCTGATTTGTAACATCCTCTTGACCATTTGTTCCCTCAAACAGAGGCATGAAGGTCATTGAGAACAGAGCCATGAAGGATGAGGAGAAGATGGAGCTGCAGGAGATCCAGCTGAAAGAGGCCAAACACATTGCAGAGGATGCTGACCGGAAATATGAGGAGGCAAGTTTTTCAGGCACTGGCAGCCACCCCAGAACAGCCCTGCGACACCAAACATGCAGTTGCTCATTTACTGCGATCAGTGCGTCTGTGACACACTCTGTGACAAATACTGATAATAGTAGATTTCCAAGATTTCTTATTTACTTAAAAATGTCTTAATGTGTTAATCCTACCCAATATAAAGAACTGGTTAGGAAGTGGTGTTACCAATATATATCTAATTATAGAAACACATGTACATTTTCACACTGTTCCTACTGTGAGTTCATGTAAACACCTTTATATAACACATTTAATACGTGGTTTATAACCCACCAGGGTAGTTCTAAACAGATATAAGTATTTATTACTGTATTTGTCAACCACTATGGCTGTTGTGGCCACACATAGTCTGGTGTATAACTTAAAAATGAATGGCAATATGGTAAAATCCTGAGGCAATAATATAAAATATGCTGTTTATCGGCTAATTGCTTACAAATACTGTACATTTATAAACACTTAAAATGTCCTTTCATACTTTAATAACTATATTCTAATATGCATTAATCAAAGTGTTACTAAATATAACAGAACTGAATTCAGACTGGTGTACATTCACTTTTAGGAAGAACCCTCTCCTAACTCTGCAGCACCAGACATTGTCACAGTCATCGGGTATTTGTTGTGTTGTGACACTTTGTTGTGCTGCACCTAAAGGTGGCCCGTAAGCTGGTCATCATTGAGGGTGACCTGGAGCGTACAGAGGAGCGTGCTGAGCTGTCAGAGAGGTAAGGTGGTCCACCTTTATGCTCATGAAAGCTGGATCTTACATTTGCATGCCTGCTGTCATTTAAACAATTGGCACTTTCAGCACTAATACACAAGGTCTAGGACTGTTTTCCATTTGACAACTGTACACTGTGTTCTTACTGTATATGCTGATTATTTGCATGCTCTTCACGGTTTGGTTTGAATGGTTTTGGCTTGCACACGTACGCCACGTCCACTAACAGACGAGTTCGGAGAATGGAGGATGAGCTAAGGGTTTTGGAGCAAAGCACGAAATCATTACACTCTTCAAGTATTCAGGTACTGGAAACAGAAACTAACACACACTCACAACGTATCTTTGATGAGTGGCTCTCTTCACTTTCATTTGTGCTGCTGAATGAAGCCTCTTACTTCGCTTGCTGTGCTTGTTCATTCCCTCTTTTATGCTCTTTTATTCTGGGTATACTAGAAGCTTTCACTCCTCTAACATGGCAGGAACTGTGCAAGAATAAAACCTCATGCTATTTAGCACTTTTTTTTTCATAAAGTTACATTGCAATTCTTACAGTCCTGTTCTGTTAAGGCACCTTTAAGAGACTTGGGGTTCTCTCCTTGTTTAATCCCTGTAGTTCTTATTTATTTTGCGTCTTCTCCCTCCCTCTTTCTTACTTTCCTCTACCCGTTTTGTGTCTGCTTCTGGTTCTGTCCATCCTCGCTCCCCTCTGTTTCCTCCACCACTCTACCTCTTCTTGTCCTTTGCAACTTTATTCCCCTTGTCTAAAACACCAGCAAATGTGCTGAGCTTGAGGAAGAGTTGAAAACTGTGACCAACAACCTGAAGTCACTGGAGGCCCAGGCTGAGAAGGTAAGCATGACCTTCTGGCCAAGTGCATGCTGACAAACCCCTCACCTACCCAGGAGAGGAGAAGCGCCAGGGAATCAAAGTCTCTTCAGTTTGATTTCATAATACAGACCTGTGTAAATGTCAATTTGGATCCACTTTGGACATTCAGAGTTTGACTCCTGCTATTATTTCTTGTCCCACAGTACTCACAGAAGGAGGACAAGTACGAGGAGGAGATCAAGGTCCTCACCGACAAGCTGAAGGAGGTAATGTTCCACAGGGCCTTATATGAAGTTGCAGGCTGAGTCCAGGATAATTGACACAAGTCACGGGTGCTGTATCACACACTGACTCATCGATCTGTCTCTACTTCAGGCTGAGACTCGTGCTGAGTTCGCTGAGAGATCAGTAGCCAAGCTTGAGAAGACCATTGATGACTTGGAAGGTATGATTTTTTCGCACCTGACCCCAGAGTCCTGCTCTGGTTATCTTGAAATGTTTATCATGTCAGTTATGGCATTTGGGTAAGTGCTCATGTATTTTTAAAAACCTTTCTTTAGTCTATCCTTTGCTTTGGTCTTCATTTTTATTTCAGCTTCCCTCTTAATTTCCCCTATAATAGCTTCCCTATTAATTTCACCATGGCTCTTTATCAGACAGTTTTACAGTTGTTGTGGTGACTCTTATCCTTTCTCTGTTAAGTCTAGTTGATTTGTTTTTCATTTCAAGGTAGAAAATGATGCATATCAAATTTTAACTTAGGAGTCACAGTGAGACTGAGAGCAATATGGCATTTCTGAGGACTTTGCCCTTTTTTAGCACTTCCATTCTGTCATTTTCTGGTGTAACTTTGTCTTTCCTCTTTTTCCTCGTTTTTCTGTCACTTCTTTCTGTCTTCCTCCCTGTATTGTCCATGGTCTGGATGCTTTACACTTCACCTCCTGGTCATGCACTGCTTCACCTTTGCTCCCTTTCACTCCACCTCCCTCCCCCTGCACTCCTGGCCCACCAATAGATGAGTTGTATGCCCAGAAACTGAAGTACAAGGCCATCAGCGAGGAGCTGGACCACGCCCTCAACGACATGACATCCATGTAATTTTGAACTTGCTGTGTTCGCTTGTTCCACTGTCACCCCTCCTTGGTCTGCCCCACCTCCATCATCTCCCTTTGGCTTTCTTGTATCCATCATAACTTGTACATCATCTCATGCTTCCATTCCTACAATTAAAATGGTTATGCAGCCTTGTTTTTATATAGTCTTAAAATCTAATGTGGTAAAACACATTACAGCTCACTCTTAATGGTTATGATACTGTATACCGCTTGTCTCAGCATCGTTGATGTTTGAGAACACAGCAAACAGTATAGAAGTAATCTGGTGCATGAACAAAAACAGCATGGGTTTTATTTTTAGCTGATTTAATTATGAGCTGTATTACTTTTATGTGAAAAGTAATCACTGTTGAATTTGTGAGTTTCTAGTTCCGTAGTTTTCAAAATATTCATGGTAATGTCACATGATATTTTGACATCCAAAAATAACGCATGCAAACCATGTTTACAAATGTCGCCGATGCATTTCAATGAATCTAACTGACTCACTGCAGCTGAACGTTCTGTGCAGTGTTTCCTCTTCTACTAAGTTGGTCTACTTCTGCCCAGAAGAAAGGCCCTCTGTGTGTTTGTGAGAGCCCCCTTTGTTCTGTCAGTTGAAGGTTACCTGTTGTAGCTAAGCATCACTGTAGCTGAACCCCCACTTTTGCCAAATTAACCGTTATCTGTCAACATTCGGCCATTCTGTGTGAGACTGACAAGGCACACCGACTCTGCTCCCCGTGTTTTAACAGAAAGGTCTGATGTAATCACGTGGTGGGTCTGTTCCACCTCTAGTCTAATTCTGTCTCACAGTGCATTTCCAGTGCATCGTGGTGTTGTAGTGCCGTGCCGTGACCCCTGTGGTTCTGCTGTATTGTGGTGCGCATCTCAGATTTCTCTAGGTCCCACACCGGCCCCCCGGTTCACTGTACTTCTTCTCTCCCACACAGATAAATTGTTTACACCTCATCAAAGACGCCTCCTGCCAGCTGAGCGGCATCTGGCTGGTTTCACCAGCCTTCTCTCCATTTTCCCTTCCCTCTCTGTCTTTGCTTTCCTTTCCTCCTCATGTTTTCAACCTCTTCTCACAGTTAATTGCATCCCATCTCTTGTACAGAATCCTAGAATCTTTCTGCATTGTGTAAAGAATAAACCTTCCTTCTATGTAAGCTGTATCTCTTTACTTTGTCCTTTTTTTCTTTTTCATTTATATTTATTTTCAAGTGGCTCTAATAAAACCAGGAAGCCTTGATTCTAAGTTATGTTTTTGATTTTGTTTCTGCATCTCAACAACCATTAGTTGAGCTTTACCCTGCTTTCATTAGTGTAATTTGGAAGATTTTAATTGATGTTCTTTTTCTTTTCTTCAAATACTGTGCTGTGAAGCTGAGATATTAGGACTATCACAGTAGTAGTATGAACACAGAAACTTAAAACAACTACAAGTACTTGAGCGAAAGCTGAGCCGAGTTCTCTTTCATTGCGTTTGAGACTGATGAAGGCACTTTTAAACATCTAGCGCTGTGACAGGAGGTGCTGACTGGAACACGTTGAGAATGAGAGGGAATTAGTGTTGGACTGTAGTCAGGGAGATTGTGGAAAAGTTGGTGGAATACAGAGCAGTATGGAAGATTTGTGGAGCCTCATCTGGCTGCTGGAAATACTGGATGAAACTGATATTGATGATTATAGCACATGGGCTTTGTGTATACAGTATCCTGTCATATATATTTGAATAAATCTAAAATCACACATTCTGAGTCTTTTTTATTAAATTCATTGCCTTCAAGTCAGACACAGTCACAGAGATAAGGAGAAGTGAGCGATATCCTGAGGTTGTGTGTTTTGAGGCATTCAAATGAGCCACATCCCTAAACTCAGAAACATCAAACCAAACTTAGGCTACAGAATGGCTGATTCTCAGTAAGGCTATCCAGTTCGGATGTTGATCAGCTATATTTCAACATATGCTAAGACGCTCTTGGTAGAGGATGTTTTGACCAAATAGACAAACCATTCAGAGAATTTTTTCCTATTTTGTTGCCACTCACTGCTATTATTTGAAGATTAAAATGTGTTGCCATGGTTCTTTTTAAACTTTATGGACTAAATCTGCTCACCCTCTGTTTTCACTCAACACGCTGTCCTGTCACTGTCCTGTCACTGTCCTGTCCTGACTTGCTTTACATGTTTCCAAAACATGAAAGCACTGTGCAGTCATGTTAGTTAAAAGTTAGTCAGATATTTTCAGTGTGTTTTGACAAATGAAAACGGTCTTCAGTGATGTATTCTAAAGACGGTAGGTGTGTACAGGTGTTGCATTTTCTCTTTTCCTATTTTCTTCTGATTTTCTGTGCTCTCTGTTTTTCAACTTGCTTTCTGACTGCAAAGATCGCCTCTTCCAGCAACTTGAGAAAAACCGCCTTCTCACTAATGAGCTCCACGTGGTCTTGAATGACAACTAAATTGCGTGAATGTTTTATATTGCTACAGTAGCAAGGTTTTTTTTTAATGTGTGTATGACAGTCCGATCCAGTGTAACATCCAAAACTCCTTTGTTTGCATTGTTCATGGTGCCTGCATTGCTTGTGTTGTGTTGTTGTTTGTGGAAGTGCATTTAATATACGTATAGTGAGAATCAGGGATTCTCTCCGGTAAATCATTTTGTAATCTTACAACTTCTGATTATAACATTATACAATAATCATTCTTTTGTAGATTGTTAATGTGTTTGTGTGTTAATCGACTGTAACCTGTTGGCATGGTTGCTTGCATATCATAATATGAGCGAGTTCTTCTTGTTTTCTGTCAGCGCTGTGTAGGTCGGGTTAAAAGATTTAATGACTGACCTGAATGATGTAGCCAGCTTGATTATTAATGGAGGCTAACCAGCTGATTCACTTACTCTTGCTTGTGTGACATTAAAACTTCTTCATTTCATATTCTAACAGAGAAACTGTCACAAGCTAAAGAAGAGAACCTCAATATGCATCAGCAGCTGGACCAGACTCTAATGGAACTGAATAATTTGTGAAAGCATGGTCTGACCCAACACACACTGTGGTTTTGGCTTTTTGTACCTGCACCTTGCTTACCATAAACCCACTCTTCTCATACCTTTCCCATGGTGGAGAAGAAGCAGCCAGATGCTATTCCTATTGCACCGTCCTGCCTTCAGCAGAACTCGACCAAGAAGCAAAGCTAAGGGGAAGTAAAGCTTAACCTTTCCCTTTGATGAAGCCTAAACAGAGGAGCACAATTGATTTTACAAGCAAGATTATTATGATATCTGCCTTATGCAGTCCTTCAGACAGCTTTTTTCTTGTTTCTTTTCTTCTTTTTTAATCTGGTAAAATTGCATGTTCCATTGTTACAAAGATTGTTTTCTACAGCTGCGTTGAAGCTGATCTGGTAACGTTCCATTCCACCATGATTATGCACACACCAAAGGACAAAGTGGAGAAATTTTGCACTTAAACCTTAACATCATGTACAGTTTGCATAGGATAAGACAAATGTTTAAAAAACACATTCTGTCCTCATAAAATGTCCTCACAAACATACTGGCCTGTCAGTATGTACAGTATACTGGTGCTACTGTGTTGTTGATGGCTGAAAACAATGCATTACAGTATAGTCTTAGTTTTCCATGGTTCAGAATTTTTTCATCATGTCTATAAAGTATGATTTCAATCATCTGGTTGTGCATTGTTTTCGCATTGTTTTACTGTAGACGTTTCAAGTGTTTATCATACCTGAAATGTAAAGTTTATGACTATAAATAAAAGCACATTTTGAAAGTTTTCTAACCTTGTTTGTGGTTTTCATGTAGCCTTTTTTCCACCACAGAGGTGAACTAAATTAAAGGTCCTAATATACTTTGTGGTGTTCAAATAAAACTAGTGTAATGCAAAGGAAAAGAAAAGTTTTTTTTAATAGATATTATCTTCACTACAAAGTAATCGGTTCATTTTGCAGCTTTATTGTGTTATTCCTGGCTCGTATTCACTCGACCCTGAGCTTGACTTCTAGCTGGGAGAAAAACATTGTCATGTGTTTGCAAGAATCATGAAAAACTTTACAATTTGTTTAGTTGCTTAAAAGTAGCAGCACCAAAATATAGAAAAGTATTTTTTTTAAGAGAAGTCTTGCATCCTGTTTTAAGTTTGTGTAGCAAGAAAAAGGCCTATGTTGCCTTTCATTTGAGTGAAATTATTGTTTTACTAACCTTGAAGAAGTGTTGACATGTTTGGACCTACTTTACAAGTACACTGTGGGGTAGGCTATTTTAATAATCTGCCATAGTTTATGACCTTCCTGTAAACTATGACTTCATCATGCCTCAATAGTTTGCATGTTATCTTAGTTTGCCATCAGTGGATTTAAAAATATTTTGCTTCACTTAGCCATTTAATGGATTTAAAATCTAAAATAAAATATAAAATAGACTATACAATTTACTAAAATTATGGCCCTTCAAAGCTGTATGCATATACCATATACAGTACAGTATTATTCAGTTGTTTATGTAAGTATGGCCTCTGTGAATGTCCTTTGTTGCTCCAGTGGGTTGATAAGGACGTGTGTGACAGAGGGAGAGAGAGAACGAGGATACTGAATGCAAATGCGCAAACTTTAAGTTTGTTGACTCCAAGTCTGGGCTAAAGATTGATAATGTATTATGGCTTCGGCTGACATCCTGAGAAGCAGCAAGTGAGATGTCCCCATAAGTGACATAAATATGTTTTGTTGTTGTTTATCTAACCCCTAACATAATCTTGTTTTTTTTTATTTGTCTATATTAGTTGCTTCAAATAATTCAAAGCATCAGTATCGAACACTAATATCGGCGATATTGGCCCTACTTGCTATGGGATTGTGAGAAAAAGAATCGGTACCGAGGGAGAGCCCAGTAGGGTTACTGAGCTCTCCCTCGCTCGATGCTTGCTAATCATGATTTGATTCATCTGGTCTGGTTCGTGGATCTACAGGGATAGATCAAGTTTCTGGCTAGCTGCAACTGATCGCTGAGGGGCAGTTTACCAACTAATGGTGCTGCACACAAAAGCAGCAACATTACTAGCAATGTCACGGTTGTTGTCAAACCGCTTTTGTGCCAAATTTAGCCTGCTAGCCGCGCGCCAGTCTTCTTGGTTGTTACCTGGAGTAGGTGCACGAGAGACACGGCGTGTTTTTATTCAGCAACAAAGACGCTACCTCGGAGGGTCAAACATACCCTTTTCTAAATACTGGGCCAAGTCCAGGATTTGGTTATGTGTCGCTGGTGTGGGGATTGCGTTAGCTGTCGGACTGGAATACCGCACTGAGACAGCCAACAGTTTGTGCATTAATAAAGTTACAGAAGCTGAGAAAACTGACACTGCTAGATACAGCACTGCAATTAAAGTTAGCAGAGACCTTGTGGAACGAATAAAGGTAGGCCTACGTGGTTTTTGATTAACCAGCCTTCCTTTGCTCTCTCTTAATATTCTTTGACTACTGTAACTTCAATGCCCCATATATCAGTTAATTGATGGTCGGTGTCTGTCGCCAGATTGAGGTCGGAGCTCCAGGACTGGTAGTCGGGGTCTCTGTGGATGGTGCTCAGGTGTGGTGTGAAGGTTGGTGCCTGCAAAGTCCGCTTTAACGGTGCTAGGCTACGTATATCCGTTTTTAAATTACAATGACAATGTAATTAGCTTGGTTTGTCCAACATAAGTTAGTTTTGTGGACCAACGTTAGGTGAATACAGCACTGGCCAACAAGACACTGTAGCGTATGGCTCTATTTTTCCTAGCGCAGTAATACCCTTGTGTTATGTTCTATATTGACTGTTTGATGCTGCATACGCGCATTGATACGTGTACTCTTTAAGAAGCAGCAGTAAAAATAATAATAAGAAAATAAATAAATTGCCTTTAGGTTTTAGTTCTGTTTGCCTTGAAACACAAATGGATCACTTCCAGTTGTGAACTAAAGTGGCCTTTTGTTTGTCTCAAAAATCAGGCCAGCACATTTCCCAGAAACCTGACCAAATAACACATGATGTGAAATTAAGCATCATTCATTCATTTACTTTACTGAAACGTCCCAAAATGTATTTTATACGTTACCACAATAAATAATGTTTAAAACACATGGACTAGTAAAATATTCCTCTGAAAACGCATTCACAGTCTTACATGATTCATTAAAATTCTTAATGTAATTCAGGGATCGGTTATGCAGACTTGGAGAACCGTGTGCCATGCAGCCCAGAAACTGTGATGCGGATTGCCAGCATCAGTAAACCCCTCACATCTGTAGCTGCTGCACGACTGTGCGAGGAAGGAAAACTGGATCTTGATGTGCCTGTCCAGAAATATGTCCCAGAATTTCCCCAGAAACAATTTGATGGACAGGATGTAAGTTACTAGAAATGATGATAAATGTAACCATTTTTTCCATCTTAACCCTGTTATTGTTAATGTTTGTGGTCAGCTCAAGCTCGCATTGTTTATTTTGTTGTTTCAGGTTACAATAACCCCTCGAATGATTTTGTCTCATCTGAGTGGCATACGACATTATGAGAAGGATGCAAAGAAAGTGAAGGAGGACAAGGAGAAAGCTAAGAGACTTTTAAAGCTACCAGTAAAGGAGAATGTGAAAGATAAAGAAAAGAAAGATAAAGCCTTAACAGAACAGAACAGCAAAGACAAAGAAGCCACTCAGGCTCACAAGAAAAAAGAGTACGAGTATGAGTATGATGAATACTACTTGAAAGACAAGTTTAATAGTGTCACTCATGCCTTGGACCTCTTCAAGGATGATCCACTCATTTTCAAACCTGGTAAAATAAACATTTACTTGCTAAACTGTTTAAATATAATACAGTTTTAATGTTTTTATTAATAAGATATGTTTTGCTACATGTAGGTACCACTTTTTTGTACTCCACCCACGCCTTTACCCTGCTCAGCGCTGTTGTGGAGCGGGCTGCTGGCCAGCGCTTCCTGGATGTCATGATGAATATGTTCCATGAACTGGGAATGCACAATACTGTGCCCGATGAGAATGACCCTATTATTTACCACCGCTCCAGGTAACCTGTCATCACCAGCATCCAGTTTGTCTAAAGCACTAAGAGTTACAGGGATTTGATTGTGCAACATAATAAAAAAAAATCCAGTAGTGACCTCACATTAAAAGATGACACTCCTTCACAGATATTATCATCTCAGCAAGAGAGGGTGTGTTGTGAACTGCCCATACATAGACAACTCCTACAAATGGGCAGGAGGTGGCTTCCTTTCCACTGTGCCTGACCTGCTGCTGTTTGGTAATGTACTGCTCTACAGCTACCAGGTGGCCCACCTAGAAGACAATACAGGCTTGCTGCCTGGCTTCCTCAAACCCAAAACTGCCATAGATTTGTGGGCACCAGTTGACAACACAGAGCCTAGTTGGGATAAAGATGGTCTGTATGCCCAGGGTTGGTTGGTGGTGGAGAAACTACAGAAATACGGCCAGTGCAGGAAGCGCAGACACTACATGTCACACACAGGAGGTGCTGTGGGGGCTAGCAGTGTCCTCCTGGTGTTGCCCAGTGAGGAGATAGACCAGCACCAAGGACGGACCCCTTTCCTCCCACAGGGTGTAGTGGTCACCATCCTCACTAACATGCAGTCTGTAGGACTCCACAGCACAGCACTGAAAGTTGCACACGAGTTTGACAAAGCCAGAAGCCTGTAAGAGTGAGTTGTTTATAGAAATGTGTTTACATTTTACAGAAAAATTATTTCATGCTCACCTTATGATCTTGCATAATTTTGATCTAGCTTTTAAACAGCATCCAGAGGATGTTTTAGTAATTGAAATAAATGTTTTAAACATGCATTTCATAATAATTTCGTTTTTCGTGACAGCACTTTGCAGTAAGCCTTTCTGCCACTAGGTGGAATCAACCTGCATTTCTAATTCAAAAACAGAGCCACTGACCTGCTGACTCTCCGTTAACAGCTAACATTAATAAAGTACCTTTTTGATATATGTCATACACAGTAGACAGAAGACAGTTGCTATTTAAAGCAGCATGTGGTGACCTTTTATTTGGGCCCACCCTGCCTACAAATTTCCTCATTGCATCATGGCATGCTTTGGAAAAAAAAACTTGGTTTGTGCAGTGACCGAAGACTGTTGCTTCATCGATAATTAAAACAGAAACATACGGTGAAATTTTTATGGTGTACTCACTGCTGAGCCAATGTTCGAGGGCATTTTTATTATAATTAACTTCAGCCAGAAGTAGAGTGCTGGCTTTGTTTTTGAATTGAACGAAACAAGAATACCAGATTTCTGAATGGGTGTGCGGCATAGCTGTGTCATTAATAGCAACTAATTCTGAGGAGTAACTGAGACACTCAGCAACTGATAATTAGTTCCCTCTTCCAACTGTATGTGAAACACTGAAGTCCATCAAAATGTAGACTTAACAAACTACTGGCAGTGCAGCCCTGTGAGTTTTAATTCCTCTTCTAAAGCTAGCTGAACTGAAGCAGATTTGATGCTATCATTCTTGTTAAAAACCCCTGGGATCCTCTGTTTTTAGCTTTAAGGGTACTGATGAATAGCCTGGGTTAAGCTAATTATACAGACTCCCACACACAGCGTATCACTAAGTTTGCTTTGTGAGCGTTTCTCCGTGTTCAAATTTGTGAGAGCATTAGAATTTTTAAAGAGCAGAGTGAAGACATTTTTAAAAAGTGAGGCGATACAGATGGGTCGAGGGGAGCGAGAGGGGTGGTATCTGTGTGTGTGTGTGTGTGTGTGTGTGTGTGTGTGTGTGTGTGTGTGTGTGTGTGTCTCCTACCAGAAATCAGATAGTGAAATCATTCAGAATGGGTCATTGTATATCTTTACACAATGATAAAATATTTACTAATATATTGAGCACATTCATTAATTGATACAACAGCTTATTTCATTCATTCCTTATTACAAGGTAAATATGCAGAATAATATTTTCCAGAATAGTTTTTTTCGTAGCCCAGCCATGCTTTATGTATACATCAAAGCGCATAGGCTGAAATACAATTTAACATGAGTAACACCAGTGCCAGTTTCATAGCGTACTGTTCACCTCCCGCCCACTCGCGCTTGTTTCACACCCATTTTTGTGCATTCATAAATTATATCTGTCTGTAGCAACAGATGTGGAATCCAGAAATCTCAAGAAGATTAATCAGCTCTTCGCCTGTCTTGACTTTAGTTGGGGTTGGTGCAGCAGTTTTCCTCACTCAACTGATCTTGTCGTCTTGTATCATATTATTTCAGCATTCCTTTCAACGCACAACTAAAACAAACCATGTACACCAAAGGAGACCTCATACTCTTGCTCTTGGTTGTACTCTCCAGTACTGTTGCTGATGGTTTTGTTGGCTCTGTTTCTTGGCTTTCAACATCCTGTGTGTGGACACAAGTAATGGCAGTTAACTTTATGACAATATATTGTGGCCAAAGTGCAATAATATCAAGATTGTGTAACACACTTCCACATCCTAATGTTATTTTTTAGATGTTTTGAGAACATTGGCAAGCCTAAATCTATAATATACATACTTGTATGTGTAGTAAATAACAACAGACAGCACCACTAAGATGAGGAGAGCAACGATGGTCACGGCTGCAATTAACCCTGCCTGCCCTGGATCGGTGGAAATTAGGGGGAGCCTGTGCTCCTGACATCTGCTGCCTCTATAAACATCAGTGCACCTGAGGTAAGATAGTATGTTGTACAAAAATGTATTACTAATATTACCATGAAATCAACAGAGTTTCAAAGTTAAAGGTTAATAAATAGTCATTCTTACATCTAAGGCAACTTAAAATTGGTTTTATAGAACTTACACACAGGAGAGCACATTCATAGAAGATATTTTGTAGCATGTCCCTCCGTGCATGCAATATGTGGCTTCCTGCACATCACAAGGGTCTCCATGGTCTACACAAACATTGTAACATTTCAGGAAAGACAGCTGTAACAGAACTGAATAGTATCTTTTAAAAGTATTTGTTCTTCTGATAGTATACTTTAGTTTTACCTGCCATCATTTAGGATGTGTTTCTTGCTGTTTCCTGAGAACAAATGTTTTTGTCATAGAAGAGGACGTAAGCTGTCACCACTAGGACATTTAAGATGCAAGTAATGAAAACAAACCTACATATATAGTTTCTTGAATTCCAAAGCCACTATGAATTGATATTCAGTCATGAGAGAGGAATATGTCATCACTCTGAAATTTTAAATAAAAAGAAACCTCTGTCCTTACCAGCCCTTGAGATCCCAGCTTTTGGTAGGTTAGTGCAGGTTTTAGTAGAGAAAGTGAATCATAGTGAAGCTTCAAAATAACTCAACTGCTTTTTGTTGGACCTCTGAGGAAACTGTCATGTGGGCGGGTTCCTCCCTTACCCTAAAAAATGTTGTGATTGCAGTTTGTCTACATTGTAAATGGCAAGCTTAGCGTCAGGATACTATCGTATGTAATTTGGTAATGTCATAAATAACGTCATTTGCTGGTGTGTGCAGTTTATATATAGCTATCAGAGGTCTAAAATAATCTTAAAAACTTGCTGTGAAAGTTTTGAACCCTTGGTTAGACTATGGTTTTTGTTCTTGAAGGTTTAGTTGCATCATAAGGTCAGTGAGGAAATCACCTACTGTGTATGTGAGCTCAGTGTGTTTGGGTTTGGTTAACTGAATGACAGGTATGCATGAAGGCATGAATGGAATCGTGGGAACTGTTTTAGTCTACAAACACATTACTCCACTTACGTCAGACAAATAGTTACTACTACCGTTAGGTGGCCCATCATTGCCAATTTTGGAATTATTCACTGCCTTTATGTTAAGAAATAGTGTTGGGAACACGCAGTTGCTGTATGGTTGGTCTATTCTAAAGCCACAGTGTTAAATGGATTTTGATGAAATTCTGTTAACTGATTAATAGTAGGCCTCACCTCACATGCCCGCTGTAGTTACAGTTCATTTGACTAATTAGAAGGCACCCTTTATCAATGATTTAGACTATAAGTTGCAGAAAGCATATTAATAGCACAAATTCACTAATGCTTCTAGGTTGCCAGCACCTATAAATCATTACAGAATGATCTACCATTAATCAACCCACTGAGAACTCAACAATTATATTTGATTCCAATGAAAATGCAGGCGTGTTGCACCTACTCTTTTATCCGCTTAGCCTTTTCGGGGGCCTAATTTTTGTGCTACTTTTTTAGGATACAACACAAATACTCCTCTGAGGTAGGAGCCAATGGTGACGCTGTAGACTCGTAAATAACAGTGAAATAAAACCGACTTGGGCGCCATAAACCCATCGTGTAATAGGCTACCACAAAAGCACTGGAAGTCACAGGTTTTATTTTTAGTTTATTTATTTATTTAGTGCGGGTGAGTTGTTATCGCGAGGAACTCTGGAGCTCAAGAGGTGAAGTGAAGCGGAGTTTTTCTACGTCGACTCTTCCAGGGTGGCATAGAAACAGGGACCTCTGCGGGCTCTTGCAGCTTAATGGAAATAGAGACTACATGTGAGTTTCATTTGACATCACTGCATGTCTCGGGGGCTTTTTGTGTAACGCTAGCCCGGTTTCCTCCGTGTTGATGGCCCCGCTCGTCACACATCTGTAGCCGCTGGGTTCCCGTTTTCAGCACCTGGACAGCTCCTGGTCGTGAACCTCCTCTTATTATCGGGCACATGGAGTCTCTGGTGTGGTTGTGGGGGAAGCCCTGCAAACGCATATGCATCCCTCCGAAGATATCGTTATCCTCCCGATTCAGTGACAGTCTCGTCGTTTCCGCAGAAGGATGGTGCTTGAAGTCCGAAGTAGGTGTTTTTGTCGTGCGCTGTCTTCTGAGAAGCGATACGGGTGCTTGGCCAACGCAAATTTAAGGGGAATCGCAGCCTACACAGATCAAGATAAGAGCTTCCCTCACCCTGATAATCATCATCATCATCATCATCGGCGATGAGGGAGATGTTACCATCATCACTGCGAGGGCAAAGCAGTCACGATCACACTTTACAAAATGTAGAGCAAGAAGACAGGAGAGGTTGGTGTGTCTTTGTGTTTCTTTTCCAGTCAGTGTTTGTTTTAAAGCGCCCTGTTGGTTGGTGCATTTGTGTTGGACTAAGACTGTAGGGCCTCTAAATCACACAGTGGGGGAAAATGTTAACAGCACCACAACTATTTAGCCTGTGTAGCTAACATTTGGATCTTGGTTGGATTGAATGAAATGTTGGGCAGAAACAGCCTACAGGAGCTGTTTAGTTAAATGAAATGATAAGAATTACCACCTTTATGGACAACCACCTCTGTTGGCAAAGGATTTACTCAAAATCCTGATTGGGAAATTCAGTCTAGTTGATACAGCGGTTTACTCAAGTCCAGCAATACTTAGCAGTGACTTTTCTCCAGAAAGAAATACACACCTTTGATCCCACTTGCCTTTCTGGTCACCTCTACAGAAAGAGAGGCACTCTGTTAAGTGTTTTGGTAATGCCTTAACTTCTGACTTTCTGCATGTCTTATGACCAAATCCGTTGTTTTGTTTTCCCCTGAGTATTATGCTAAGACAACATTTTTGGGGTGCTGCAGTGAAACAATATCACTCAGCCCTTGAATTACCTGAACTGGTTTATCCTGAGTAGCCTTTAATCTGATGCTTCACTGCTTACCTCTGCTGTGGCTGTGAATGCTTCACATCTGAAAGATTTCATTGTGCCTCTGTGTGTCACACACTCCTCCGAATCCACAAAATATTAGTAAATTATGAGGCTGTGAACAACAATGCAAATGTGTAATCATTGTCAGTTCATCTCTTGACAGCTGCCTTCAGTTTTAGCCTATTTGCAATACTGTCAACTGGGCTTGTTGTTTATAGTAGTGGATGTTTCATGTTAAAACAGTGGCTATGTGTTTGTGACTTTCCTGTCTGGTCTTGTCATGTCTGTTTCCTGCAAAGCAGCTGGAGCAGGCTTTCGGTGAATGAACTTGGACATCAATGGCTTTCTTATCCTGTGGCACAAAAAGCTAGCATCCTGCTGTACTTGCTATGCGAGAGGCGTGGTGTTCCACAGCCCCTGATTCACAGAGCGGAGCATATATTGAAGGAGATTTAAAATCCATTACACTTTAGTGCTCCCCAGCAAAATAGTTGAACAGAGCACAGCTAAAACTGAAGTTAGGACATGGTGCCTTCGGGAAAAGCAAAGGCACTGGTACTGCATTTGTGTTAAACAGTTCAACTGTAAATAAATATTTCATGATATTGAGATTAATTGGCCACATGGAAACAGCAGATGGCAAAACAGTCTCCCCACAAGGTCTATTAGTTGCTGTTCTGGAGCTGCCACAATTTTCCTGAGTGGATGCAATTTGCCCCATGATTGTTTTTTTTTCCTAGTAGTAATCACCTTGTTCTTGTATTTTCTATAGGTGTGGTTGGAGCTAGGTCTCTGCAGTGGTGAAATCACATTTCACACTTGAGGTCATTTACTGTGGATGTCTATTTTTGACAGCAAGACCTCAACATGAGCAACCCCCAGTAAGTATAGCACCTGTCAGTGTCTTGTTTATGTTTGGGAGAGTGTGAAATCTTGACTCTCTATTTCTGACCATGCAATCTTATCCAAAGGGCATCTTAGTGTGGTACCGTATGATTCACAGAATAGGACCTGAATATTGTCATGCCTGTTGTGCGAATGACTTTGAACAGGGATCTGTGGGAAGGTGGAGCTCAGCCTTGTCCAGCATATCTGAGTGAGAGAGAGCAGCTGGCCAACTCCAGTCTCTGCTGGCATCTCTTAGCATTCAGGAGGGATGTTCACTTGTCATCTTCTCTTACTAATAATTACTCTGTGTGTGGTCCTCGAGACACCCCCTGCATTCTGATGACAGCCAGGGCTGGTGCTAAAAGAAGGGAAGAGGGAGGGAGCAGGGAAATGGAATTAAGTGGGAGGAGGTGGAGTGGAGTAGAGTGGAGTGGAGTGGAGTAAGGGGTGAATGCAAAATGGGTTCAGTCAGCTGCATCTTCTGGTTAAAGACACAGGATCCTGTATCCAACCAACGAACATCTCTGCCTGTTAATGGCTGATTACTGAGTTCATTTGAATGAGAATGTTGGTGCAAAGCATCTGTAACTAGAGAATGTGTTGACAAAGGCATGATTAAATGCTGCAGAATGCCAGTGACTCTCTGTGAAGTGACGGATGGGGAAACTCATGCAGAGAAAGGTCTTTGGAGTTATTTTCACCCCTGCTCTTTTAGACTTGATGCTGCTGTAAATCCTCTCTCACTGTTTCTTTCTCTCTGTGGCTCTGTTGCATATCTGTGCTGGAAACAGTGGGAGGCAAGATGGGAAAAATATTAGATGCTCAAATACAACAAATTCAAAGCAATTTCACTTACATATTTCATGCAACAATTCAATACAACTGTGTAAAATCTGTTTGTCTGCATGCAAATTGGAAAACTCAAAAAGAAAAATCACACGCCCTTAGAAGCATAAACACTGATGAGACAGATCTTTTTGTCTAATAGGAGGAGGCATTTATGTTTGTATACATTAGTTCTCATTCAGCGGTCAAAAAGTGAACAGCACACATCCCAAGGATGTGTAATAACAATTATTTTTTTTTGACAATGGGACTGGCACCTGCTTTTGTAGATCAAGCATCTGCAGAGGAAATCTTGATGTCTCGGGTGTTACGTTTTCAACCTGCTAATTGAGGTGATATAGATATCCAGCTGTGGATTTGATGATGAAGCATATTCTCTGTTATTAACAGTAAAGACACAGACAAAACACCCTCAGCTGTTTCCGTTTGCAAACCAAAAGATCAGATGTTGCTCAAAAGAGCTGATGTTTCGAACATGCGATTGTCTCAGAAGTTTGAGCAAGACCGGCTGCACCTGCTGCTGGTGAATCTGGCCGGTGCCAATAGAAGTGATCTGGCACAGTAGTTCTGTTTTCCTGATCAGAACAGTGAATTGCTGTTCACTGAGGAATTTAGTGTCTACATACAAACTTATTGGGTAAGACAGAGCAGATGGATTGTAGGCAGCTACCCAGAAATACCATGGCAGTGGGCACTCAGAATGACAGTGATACCAACCACCAGTTCACGCTGAGGCAGCACTTTAAACTCCAGTGAAGTGACAGAAGCAGAGAATTTATTGCTCCGCTAGGTGATTTAAAATCTGAAGCATCGCCTTACCACTTTAATAGAGTAACCGATATTGTACTCCATTTGATCATTGTTGTGGCCCCAGTTTGGAATTGCATTATAACAGTCATAAGCTGCTATGGATGTTTAACTCTACTTCATATTAACAGTTATGTATCCATGGAAAGCAGGCTCTTGCACACACCCTCGTAACTTAACAGCTGACTTCCTGTTCAGTCACACATGGGAAGTGAGGGCGAAGTGCTGTGGTATAGAACATGTCAGCTACAGTTTCAGAGCCGATGTGACATGAAGTCCGCTCAGCTATAACTGCTGCTTCTCGGGCCAAAAGACCCTAAAACAGAGAAAGTTTGGGTGCAGATGTCGACCATCTCAAACTTGACTCAGACCTGAGTCTATTTAACCGAATAACAAAAAAGTATGGTGTAAAACAAATAAACACCTTGAAGCAGTTATGTTCTGACATTTAAATAAAATAAAATGAGCTCTTATTTGTCTTAGTCTCAAATGATTTTAGTCTTGTTTTAACACTGTAGATTGATTCAATCTTGACAGGGTCCCACTCGAGTTCCTTTCTAACAGAAGCAGGTAGAAAACTGAGGCTAGATTAGATTACAAGTGAGATTCATTTAAACTAGATTTATAAAATCACTGAGTCATGCCAAGAGGATCTTCCTATTGAAAATATCTAAACAAAACTAGGTGTTCTCATATGTACTGTATTTCCCAGATGTATGTTACTGGAAAGTGTCTATGTATGGAGGCTGTTATTTGATTACACCTAGTTGTAACTGTAAAAGGTTAGAGGCAAATGAGGACTCACACTGAGAATATTAATAATAAACATCTAAACTGAGCAGATATTTTCTTAGCTTACTTAAGGTGAATAATTATTATCCCTGCTGTGTCGTGAGAAACGGCACATTGTTTAATCAATGACTTGGAATTAGAATGGAGAGATTTCTGCAGGCTGTTATATCTTTATGTATCTATTGATCACTGCATGGTGATTTATAGTAATGTGATGTCCAAATGCTGGGAGTATAAATAAGGATTGCTTTTATTCTGAAGAAGCCCCTGGCAATAATTATAAGGGACAAACAGACGACATTAAAACTGATTTGTTTTTCCAAGTACAGCAATCTTTAAAACATACTTATAGTTACATATAAGGCATGGAGCATTACAGTACATCTATGACCAGTAAAGCTACCAGTTAAATTTGCTTCATTTGTGTAGTAACAATATAATTTTTTATAGTTGTCCTCAGTAGTTTAACATTAAGAAAAAGCTGAGATGTAACCTTTCACACTACCATGTAGAACTAAACCAGAGCAGCATTTTGAAAACTCGTCTTTGTGCCTTGTCTTGCTCTGTATGCTTTGAAAAGGTCCTAGCATTTAGGATACCACTGGCTATCCTCGCCTGCATCGCACAATGGCAACTAGCCACTTCATTGGGCTGTGCAAAGAATGGCTCCTGGTCTTTCTCTATACACACACAGTATAGATACCGACTTTCATCAAACTCGATTTGACAGTTCTAGGTGAAAGGTTATCCAATCAGAAGCTTTGTCCTGCCCCCAAGTGAGTCTTTTCAAGTGAGGAGCGACATTCTGGCTTGTTACAACCGAGATGGTGTGATTAAAAAGTAAGCTTACTAATGATTTGAGTAATTTCTCTGTATTAGAGGGTGCATTAAGGATAATGTCAGCCTGGAATGTAAACTCAGCTCATTTTGATTTGTTAGATGACTTGATTAATAACTTGGCGATAAATAATTCATCAGAAAACCACCCGTTACCTCCACTACCGGTTAATATTTCAGATTTTGATCTATTAGAATTCTCAGTGAGCAGAGAGACAGGGTTTTTTTCAGCGAAAGTCAAAATAGCCCAATCAGTCACCATTCAGAAAACCAGCAAAATACACCACCGCAAGACAGACTCGTAAACGCAGCTCATTTTGATCAATTAGACGCATTAATAAACAGATTACTGATAAACACTAGCCCGCAAAGCAACTCAGGCAATTCGCCAAATACATCCTCAGAGTACAATTACAGGGATCTGACACAAGATGGGGGTTACGATTCACCAGATACTTCTCCTCTACACCAGGCAAGCGCCTCTGATTTTGACTTATTAGAAGAGGCTGTAAACAATCTGCTGGACCGAATACACTCATCTCAACACCAGACGGGTTCGGGCTCCCACGATAACGCTCACAATGAACAAGAGAATCAGCCAGAAAACGATCAACAGCCTTCCCCCTCCTCTTCCTCACCAGAGCAAGTCGCGCGTGAACCTGATCAAACACCGGCTGA